TATATATATATATATAGTTGGTGTTGTGTGTGTGTAGTAGTATACGTTAGTATATATATATATATATATACTACATACATACATANATACTATACACACACATATATATATATATATATATATATAATTGCGTTGGTTTAAAAAAAAAATTTGCCACATTTTATTTCAAGGCAACTCTAAAGTCTAAATACATGCTCTGTTTTGGATATGGCCCATCAGCATATCCTACGTGATCGTGCTACCGCAACCACTCTAATCACCCTAAAACTAAACGAACAGCGTCTTGTCATTGGACCTCCCACTCACATCCGTCACACTCGTGCTGCTTTCATTCTCGCGCACTCCTACCGAACTTTCCCTCAGTTGGGCCGACGTATTCGAGTTGGGAGTGCTGATCTGTTTCTTCCTCTTCACCACAAACACAGCCCCACCCACAAATATACCTACCACCGCCACACACCCTACAGCGATACCTACAATAGCCCCCACGGAAAGTACCGAGCTGTCTGAGGTCGAAGCCTCCGCCCTGGAAAAGTCGTTTGCGTCGGGGTTGTAGCTGTAGTCCCTGCAAGGCGCATGTGCAATGGTTGTTATGAGCGATACTACTGGAAAAGCCCGGCGGAAGAAGCCAACAGGACTGAATGGCCTGCGCACATGTTTACAAACTATATACTATGTATGCCCTACAGCATAGTACTAAAATCAGTCTGTACCATCACTGGACACATAGATGTACCCAAGCTTAGCTTTCAGGCTTTTGTGCGTATTTCAGGTTCGTGTCTCTGGGGACACATGGTGTGTAGATAAGTGCGGTCGTACATAAGTGACAACCAAAGAACTGTACTTATAACAGCCGTTAAACAGAACGGATCCTTCAAGCACAACTGCTTGCCTACAATCGCTGATATTTGTGTATAGCGAGAGAGAGAGACGCATACATCTTATCACAACTTTCACACCGAGAATGGTCTCGTTATCCACATATGAGAGATAATGCACTTGTACGCACGAATCGCTCATGCGGTACAACTTCAAGTGAAGAACAGCTTTCGATTCAAATAGCATTTATGTGATCCGACAAAATAGTATTACAAACAATCGCCTTAAGCAGAAGTGCACGAGTTTATATAATGGTGTTTATATGACTTTCCCCTTTCAATGTATTCATAGAAATTAAATGTGGAGAGAATTGAGGGAATTAAATATGACGGTGTAAATGTGTGATTTATATGATTCTTCTTACCCAATGAATATATAAGATTTAAATATGAAGCGAATTAGATATGACGGTGTATATACTTTAAATATGGAAGAAATATCGATAGCGTTAACAGATGGAAGCTGAGTCACGAACAGATACATATATACTGCGATGTTCGTGCTTGAACGCATTGACTGCGTCAGCCACACTTCTACGACACACACACACACGGGCACACATGTAAGTACCACATCCGCACCTGTTAGCATAGGTCGCATACATAAACCTTCTATAACACATACATACGACACACACGTGCGCACATTAATTACCACATCCGTACCTGTTAGCATAGGCCACATACACAAACCTTCTATAACACATACATACGACACACACGTGCACACATTAATTACCACATCCGTACCTGTTAGCATCGTCTTCCTCAGCCGCATACACATACGTGTCAGCTCTCGTCTGGACGCCCCCACTGAGGTACGACACGATCCACGAGTTGAAGGAGTTCACACGGGTGTAGATGCCATACAGACCGGGTTGTGCACAGCCTATACCGTAGCTCACTATACCGACGACCCGTTGAATGCCCGCTTCGTCTACTACCCAGTACGGGCCACCGCTATCGCCCTGCGAGTATGAGGAGATGCAAAAAGGTTGGCATGTGCTGTGTAAAGTATGTAGTTCAAAGGGGGGGGGTGGGGTCTGGAATCGGTGTGCATGATGGTTGGTGTTGATGATAGCGACGGATGCAACGTGTGTATAGAGGGAGTGTGGATCGAACTTGAGGGTCTTGCTCTTGTCAATCGGCAAACTAATGCATATCATACACAGTAAGGGAGGTGTAATAACAGCGAACTGGTGCAACTTCAAAGCAATACTTCACTAGTACAGGCAGGCCAGGGCAGTTGTATTGGAAATAATCCACCCATAAGCTTTTATCAATGGTATGCCACTTTCTTATATTCTATTTTAGTATGTGTTTTTCCAACTGTGATCTACTCAGTCCGGGGGCAAGATGGTACCCATTACGTCCCAGTTAGATTCAGTATCAAATCGTTTTGATATCGAATATATCTGACATCTCTTACATAGTACATAAAACCGTGTTCAAAGATCAACGCAAACAGTATTGAAGAATAAAATGGGGTCACTCCTAACATCAACTTAAAGGTTATTGCAAACGAAATGAATCACAGTTGTGACAAGTGCTATACTGTCAGATGGGGGTAGTTACCAAATACTATGAGTACCACGCCTCAGCGCAAATCAGAAACAGGACAAGTATTGATCAGGACAAGTATCTCCCGGACTAACGGGGTGACTTTAAGGTAGTTCATGGTTCAAAATAATTGGCAGCGATTTATAATAATATTACCTCAAATGATCATTTTATAAATATATGTATATTATTTACGATATATATGATATATATTATTTATATATATATATGTATATATGCAATATATAAATATATATTTATATATATATATATATATATATGATATATATATATACATATATATATATATATATGCAATATATATATAAATTTATAGTTTTGTACCGACAAACATCCGAAGTAGCTCAGATGGGAGAGCATTCGACTGAAGATCGAAAGGCACCAAGATCGATACTTGGCTTCGGCAGATCTTTTTTTAACCCATTTGTATATATACCAAAAATAAAAACGAGCAAGACCATAAAGTGGACTGTATTTATAGAAAAATGGATTCATCACAATCCACCACCAGAAGACACAATAAAACAATTCTTATATAAATCGGTTTAAAATCACAATAACACACATTTGGCGTGCACATGTCTCGATTGCAGATCAACACCCGGTCATAGAAATAGGGAAAAGTAAACATACCTGGCAGGCATCTTGTCCTCCGGAGAGATAACCGGCGCAGACTTGAGTATCGTCCACAGTAACGGCGTAGAACTTATAAGCCAAGGTACATTGCTCAAGGCTGTCATATGGAATTCGATAGACAGTTGTACTGGTTAGAATGGAGGTAATTACACTCGGAGTACATCATGAATTAAGTGGATTTAGAAGGTTGAATCATATTTAGGCTGTGATGATTGGATCCTAAACACTACCCACACTTACACACTCTCTCTCTCTCGCTCACACATGCATATATATATTATATATACAAATATATAAACACATAAATTGTTATATACATGTAAATATATAAATACATAAAAATGTATAATAATATATAACACTGTAACTATATAGTAATATATATATATATATATATAAGACAAAGCTTGTTGTGTTAGATTGTTGACGTCGCACATTGACACTACTGATTGTACAATAGCAAGAGATACAAAGCCAAATACAAACACACACCAAATAAACGTATCTTGTATATATACAAGACGCAAGCAGTGGAACGTGGACCAGAAAAGGTATTGCAATGAAAACGTTCACACACACATGTCCACTTCTAAAGCGGATACAGTACCTATCGTAAGTAATTGTATATCTAGCAAAAAGCACATGTAGATATTGCTAGGTATCCAATTAAGTAACATCCGCTTAAATAGTTATATGCACGATTTGTGTAAGATTGTTCCGTCACACACCTGACTTGGGGCAGAGAAACGGTCTGTAGATCAATGGGATGATACGAGTCATCGGGATCCGTTCGGCCCCAGCCACTGACTTCCCCCATTGTCCCCACATCCTCCTGAAAATAAATTTATCGTTAAAATGAATGATTTCGATTGGAATATTGTTAGCACATGCGGTCGGCAAGTTGAGATACTATCTACGCCATGTAGGGATAAGAATTGCAATACAAAGACAAATGTATAAAGTAATACTCGAGCAGTATTGCGGATTGAAATGCGACAAACACCGAGGATAAGGCGAGAACAGCACCCAAGGACGTGCACGAACGAAACGGCAAGTATTGTTCATGGTGAGTTGACTGGCGATTGTATAGTCTAGGGTTGTGTAGTCATGGGTAGCAAAGAATATCAAGTAAAACCTCAGCAAATATAAACGTTAACACTACGAACGGGGGCGGCAGTAGAATCATTATGGTCGGGAGCCCCTGTGCGCTATCTCGACGCAAAAACGAAACGTATTGGATACATACAAGTGACAATGAATAGCACGATCCTCGTCGCCATGACTACCATCTAAGGTACACGGTGGAGGGTAGTATTGTACGTATATGAAGGCTTAGTACATTCTCAGGTAAGCTCAGTCACCTCATTGACAGGTACTGGACCGATGCTTGGCGCAGTGGATACTATGCTGTAGTATGGATTCCCCGGCCTGGTACTGACTCGACTGCGACGAATGTATGTATATACACAAGCGTATATATGCACCACATACATTGAATAAATGTATAACCGCCCCCCCCCAACCCCCCCCATACACACACACATTATATATATATATATGTATAAATATATATATTTAATGGATGGGATACTCACGTATCAACGTATACACACACCACTCAAGATCAATACGTACACAC